GGGGGGGGCGAAGAAACTCTCAGGCGACGCTCGGGGCTCTGGGGCTGAGATTGAACCGCGAGCCGTCGCGTTTCTCGTTGTGGACGTGAGGATTACTCTTACACCCGGCGGACGCACTTCCTTCCGTATGCTTGTATTGCACCAAGCGAACTATTTCACGCTGGTTCTGCGATTGGGTCATTCCATCTATTGGTTTGTTTCGCGCGGCAAATGTGACGTGTTACTGATGTAAAGGATAAGAGCGTAGTAACAGGGTTACTTCAACCTCCTGGGTTGTAACCGCAATCTTCAGAAATTTGCGGTCCAGCATTCTTGCAGATCGCTAATCCTTTCTTACTCTACTATTTTTCACGTCGACGGCTTTGGAAACAATAGTTCGTAATGTAATCCTGGCCCATTTGAAATATCATAAGGGGGCCACAAGGCGTGAAGTAATTATTTTGTGGGTAGGAAAGCAGTCACTGAGACAAGAGAAAAATTTCAATTATGATTTACGAATTATTTTGATGCATTTCTTTTAATATTTCCTAAAAATAATAATGTTAATGTATAGAGTAACCGTGTATTTGGATTATACTTTCTCCAAAACGGCTTTCTTATTTATTTGAGAAAATTGATATCTTGGTAATAACGAATCTTCGGTTTGCGTACTAATCGATACGATCAACAATCTCACGCCCAAAAAGCGCCGCTGCAACCGACCATGTACCAGCCCTGCGCAATGGAGACTCGAGGCGGCGCCAACGCTATTCGTGCGAGGTGGCGCTGGCTGTCGGGGCAAGGACGGGCCGCCGCGTGTGCGGCCGCTCTCGCACGGCCCGAGTAACGAGCGCCCAAACACCGCGGAGCGTGCGGCTATAATGTCGGGGCGTGGGGGCGGGGCGGCGCCGCGCCGCGCCGGGTCGTGTGCGTGCATCGCCCGGGGCGACGCGCCCGAAAACAAACGCCGGCCACGCGGACAAAGGCGGCGTTGTGAGCGGCGCCGCTCCCGCCTACCCGCCCTCCCCCTTCCCCTCTCTCCTTCTCTCCCTTTCTCCTTCTCTCTCTCCTCCCCCTCTCTCCTCTCGCCTTCACTCTCTCTCTCTCGTCTCCCCTCTCGCCATCTTTCTCTTCTTCTCTCCCTCTCCTCCTCACTCTCCGCCTCTCCTTCTTTGTACTGCCCGCCCCAACACTCACCCGCCTTCCCACCCACCTACCTCGCTCCCGCCACCTCGGCCGCTTCTCTCTCCTGAGATTCTCCGGCATGTTTTGATCGTTCCCACCCTATCACGCCCGCCCGTCCCCTCCCTTGCCATCCCGTTCGACCTTGGTTGTTGGGAGGCTGAGGAGCGCTGCTCTTTGACGGGAAGAGCGACCGCCGGGGGCGCAGCGACGCGGCAACGGCGCTTTGTGTAGGGTTTTCTTCCTGAACAGAGTTGTAACTCTTGTCCGTTTCTCTGCTGCTTATCTATTGCGTGAGGAATGTATTCGGAAAATGGCATCGGAAATCTTGTGCTTTTGAACCGCGAACTCAGATTTCCCAGACATTTGTCATTAAGTTTCAATCCATTTCCTCACCATGTTTAGAATAAATCGAGTCTTTCCTTCCGAACGTTCAGTATCGGAGAAGAATAAGCTTCGTAATATCCTCCAAGACTTTAAGGTTTTTAGAAATGTATTTGTTCTTCCGAAAACTTACGTGACAGCATCATTGAGCACCTTGATGAAAATTCTCAAAATGTACAATTTGTATCTTAAACAGAATCCGATTTATTCGCATATCCCCCTGTCGATCAATTGTTTTTATTTCCCGAAAGTTTGTAAAAGAGTCAATTTGATGCAGGTTTTCTCTTCGAAAGTCGCTATTTCAGAGCCTTTCAAGCGTCGCCAGAAAGCAGCGGCAGTGGTGAATGGGCCGCAATAAATCGGAGCACGGCGCCGGCGATGTGAATATTAAAGAGGCCTCCGTGTCACTGGTTGAGTAGTGAATGTGGCTGCGCCCTTCAAGTTTGTTTCCGAAGCAGATATCTAATATTCGGGCCCTGTGCAGCTGCGTTGAGAGATGAATGGCTT